TACAAGTTGGGCGATCTGATGTTTTTTATCAAACAAATATTACTATTAGTATATATATATATATATATATATATATATATCATTAAAGGCGATAGACAAGGTACTGCGATTAAGCTTTTTATTTAATTTTTCTTGTGTTCGAAATAGTGTTTACTTTTCTGGACACAGAATGTGTAGAAACTGTCCTAATAATCTGATCCACATGTAAAAAAAAGATTAAAATTAATGGAAGCCTTAAGAAAAGAAGAAAAATCCAACACCCATTAATATTAACTACGAACACGGTCACAATGTGCTAGCTGTGTTCGGAAAATAAACCATCCCTATAAACTCTAGAAACATAAACTCAACCGATACACCCAATTAAAACACAAAAATAAAATCATCCTTGCTAATGGCTAAAAGTATAGCCGAAACCGCTCGGAAATACAGAAGATTTTGACAGTTTCTACACACTCTGTTTCCAGAAAAGAAAATACTTGGCCAAGCACACAGAAAATTTAAATAAAATACTTCATCACAGTGCCTTGTCTGGCGTCTTTATTATAATTTGCATAAATTTATTTATTATTTGCGTAAATGAAGGATTGCTGCCCAAATACACAATATATATATATATATATATATATATATATATATATATATATATATATATATATATATATATATATACACAGTGGAGCCTCGGTTCACGAATTTAATTCGTTCCATAGGCCGTTCGTAACTCAAAATGATCGTAAACCGAAACTATATTTCCACTAGGAATCAATGTAAAGAAAAAACTCACAGTACAATAAAATTGGAAAAGAAAAGCCTGTCACAACATACGAATGTATACAACATGGCGGTCGACTCAGAAATGATTCCATTCAACTTGGTTCGGCTATGTTGTTCGAGAACTGAGGCATTTTCATCTCAAATTTTCTGTTCGAAAACCGATTTGTTTGACATGCGAGACACTCGTGGACCGAGGTTGCATATATATATATATATATATATATATATATATATATATATATATATATATATATATATATATATATATATATATATATACAATGAAGTGAAATAAAAAAAAAACGAAAGAATATTAATCTACAACCCAGTGCGTCTAAAGATTTTAATTTTTTAATAAATTTTTATTGTTCAATATATATATATATATATATATATATATATATATATATATATATATATATATTATTTTCCCACAATTTCATCACAATTCTACGGGTGCGGATTATTGTTGATGGCGTATTATACATGGGGATTTACGGTATTCCTGTTATTTATTTCTTTATTGCCATATGTCCTTCTTTTACTGCAGTAAAATTTTCTTTTTCTTTTTATTTCGATAAATGTCGTCCTTGTTAATTTTACTTTCTCTTTCTTTTTTCATTTCTTTTCTTGTTTTCTTTCTGTCTTCGCCTTCAGTCCTTTTTTCTTTTACTTCTTAAATTTGTCTATTCGTCCTTTCTTTTTTTTTCTTTTTCATTCATTCGATGTTTTACTTTATTTTATGTCTAACATTTATTCGATTTTTCTTCTTTATTTGTTTCTTTCATTTCATGCATTTTTATTTGTAAATCTTTCTTTACTTCATTCATTTAAAAGTTTATTTTTCTATTGATATTTCCTTCTTTCCTTTTCATTCACTATTCTCATTCTATAATTTATCTTTTACTTTTTAAAGTTTTCTTTTCTTTCTTTAACATTACATTCTCTTTCTCTATTGAGTAAATCAATTCCTTTTTTCATTGATTCTTTCTTCTTTTCTCATAATTCTTCTCATATGAAGTTCTTTGACAAAAATACAATCTTTCTTTCTTTCTCGTAGATACTTCTTTTTCTTTCATTTTTCATTTTTCATAAAATTCTTCATTTCTGGAACTTTATTTCTAGTTCTGTCTTTCCTTCTTTCTTTCTTTTTTCTTTCTTTCTTTCTTTCTTTCTTTCTCATACTTTTCTTTTTTTTTTATTCTTACTTTCTTATCCAATGGTTTCATTCTCGTACTTTATTTATTTATTTATTTGTCTCTTTCTTTCTTTTTTTCTTTTCTTTCTTTCTTTTTCTCATACTTTTCTTTTTCTTTCATGCTTCCTTTCTTCCCCAATGGTTTCATTCTCGTACTTTCTTTCTTTCTTTCTTTCTTTCTTTCTTTCTTTTTCTTTATTTCTTTCTTTTTCGTTCTTTCTTTTTCTTTCTTTCTTTCTTTCTTTCTTTTTCTTTCTTTCTTTCTTTCTTTTTCTCATACTTTTCTTTTTCTTTCATTCTTCCTTTTTTATACAATGGTTTCATTCTCGTACTTTCTTTCTTTCTTTTTCTTTCTTTCTTTCTTTCTTTTTCGTTCTTTCTTTTTCTTTCTTTCTGTTTTCTCATACTTTTCTTTTTCTTTCATTCTTCCTTTTTTATCTAATTCTTTCCTTTTCTGTCCTTTATCCATCTTTCTATCTTTTGTCTTCCTTGCTTTCTTTCTTTCTTTCTTCATTTCTTTCCTAATATTTTTTCTTTATTTTTCTTTTTGTCTTTTTTCTTCATTTCTTTCTTTTTTCTCATACTTTTCTTTCATGCTTCCTTTCTTACCCAATGGTTTAATTTTCGTACTTTCTTTCATTCTTTCTTTCTTTCTTTCTTTTTCTCATACTTTTCTTTTTCTTTCATTTTTCCTTTTTTATCCAATTCTTTCCTTTTCTTTCCTTTATTCATCTTTCTTTCTTTCTTTCTTTCCTACATACTTTTCTTTCTTTCTTTCTTTCTTTCTTTCTTTCTTTCATTTTCTCGTACTTTTTTTTCCTTTCATTCTGGGTCTTCTTTCTTTCTTTCTTTCTTTCTTTCTTTCTTTCTTTATTACTTATTTTCTTTCCTTCATTTTTTTCTTTTTTTCTTTCTGAGGCTTTTCTTTTTCTTTCATTCTTCTTTTTATCCAATTCTTTCCTTTTCTTTCTTTTATTCATCATTCTTTCTTTCTTTTTTGCTTACATACTTTTCCTTTCTTTCTTCTTTCTTTCTTTTTTCTCATACTTTTCTTTTTCTTTCATACTTTTTTTCTTACCGAATGCTTTCATTCTCGTACTTTCTTTCTTTCTTTCTTTCTTTCTTTCTTTCTTTCTTTCCTTTTTATCTTTCTTTCCTTTTTCTTTCTTTCTCTTTTCTCATGATTTTCCTTTTCTTTCATTCTTTCTTTTTTATCCAATTACTTCCTTTACTTTCTGTGTTTCTTTCCTTCTTTCTTTTTTTTCTTTCCTTCTTTCTATCTTTCTTTCATTTTTCCTTTTTTCTTTTTTTCTTTTTCTTTCTTTCTTTTTCTTTCATTTTTTTCATACTTTTCTTTTTCATTCATTCCTCTTTTTTAGCCAATTCTTTACATTTCTTTCTGTCTTTCTTTTTTCTTTCTTTTTCTTTCTTTTTTCTTTCTTTCTTTTTCTTTCTTTTTTTCTTTCTTTTTCTCATACTTTTCTTTTTCCTCCGTTTTAGCCAATTCTTTGCATTTCTTTCTGTCTTTCTGTCTTTCTTTCTTTCTTTCTCATATTTTTTCTCTCGAGTTTTTAGCTTTTTATTTTCCTCTTCCTTCCGTTCTCCTTCATTCTTTCTTTTTTCATTGCTTTTTTACTTTTTCTTCTTTTTTTATTGTTCTTATTCTTTCTTTTTATTTATTTATTTCTCTTTCCTTCTTTCTTTCTTTCTGTCTTTCTTTCTTACTATTTTTCTCTTACTGCTCTTTACTTTTTATTCTTTCTTTTTTTCTTCCTTTCTATTTTTTCCCTTCCTTTTTGATTTGAATTGTCGAAATGCCTATCCGTTAATAGTTTTCTTTCACTCTCTCTCTCACCTGTTTCATTCTTTTACTTCATTTTCCCTTTTGTAGTTTTACCTGCTTTCTTTGACTTCCATCATTTTTGAAATTCTCTCGTCAAATTACGAAATGACGTCATCAGGGGAACAGGTCGGAAGTGACGCTGAAAGTTTCGCCTGTGAAAGACACAGGTGAACGAAAAAATGGCGAGGGTGGATTCCTATCGAATGGAAGTGGATATGACTTGACACCAAGGAAAACTTCCCATTTTTTATTAAACAAAGGTAACGAGAAAATAGAGAAGGTAAGAATTTCCTTATTTTAAAATAAGATATCAACAGAAAAACGAAACCAGCCAAACAGTCCGCACCCACAATACATATATATAATATATATATATTGCTGATAATAATTTGTTCTTTCAAAAATTCATTGCTGATAATAATTTTTCACAAAAATGTATTACTGGTATTAAAACCTATTTTTACACTTCCATAGTATTTTGACCCCAGTTTAGGGGTTAACTATTTGCACATAGCTGGAACTCTAACAGATGCTACTACCACGGGTCAGGGTAGACCTGGGTATACCATTAATTAAGAGGTGGTTCCAATCAGAGGCCTTGCTGTTAGATGTAGTTTATCATCTTACCCAGGACGCGGATGTAGTTCATCATCTTACCTAGGGTGCCTCATTTCGGGGAGGGGGGTCTTTCTTTCTTTCTTTCTTTCTTTCTTACATACTTTTTCTTTCTTTTTTTCTCATACTTTTCTTTTTCTTTCATGCTTCCTTTCTTCCCCAATGGTTTCATTCTCGTACTTTCTTTCTTTCTTTCTTTCTTTTTTTTTTATTTCTTTCTTTTTCGTTCTTTCTTTTTCTTTCTTTCTGTTTTCTCATACTTTTCTTTTTCTTTCATTCTTCCTTTTTTATCCAATGCTTTCTTTTTCTTTTCTTTATCCATCTTTCTTTTTTTTCCTTCCTTTTTTTCCTTCCTTTTTTTTTCTTTCTTTTTTTCCTACATACTTTTTCTTTATTTTTCTTTCTGTCTTTTTTCTCATACTTTTCTTTCATACTTCCTTCCTTATCCAATGTTTTCATTCTCGCACTTCTTTCTCTCTTTCATTCATTCATTTTGTTTTACTTATTTTATTTCCTTCTTTTTATCTTTTTCTTTTTTCTTTCTTTTTCTTTTCTGGTGTTTTTCTTTTTCTTTCATTATTCCTTTTTTATCCAATTCCTTTTCTTTCTTTTTCTTTCTTTCTTTTCTTCATACTTTTCTGTGCAATCGGGTGTATTATGAAGCCCCAACCTACAGCGCGTGCATTTCTGTTGTTATATGGGGAAAGGAGAGATTTATTAATTTTTAAATGGCTACAAAATCTTTCATGTTTCAATGCTAAGTAAAGAGTTAAAGAAATTTCTCTTATTTTAATTCTGGATAAATATATTATCCAAATTTCGCTTTCACATCCCATATTTTATGTTATAAATTTATTACTCCCCTTTAACCATTTTAACGTATATTAACGTGGTTACCCGGTGTTCTTCTTTTGAACTTTAAACTTGCTTTTAATTTTTTTTTTTTTTTAATGGCCCCTAACTACACCCTATTTTCTGGATTTACATCCAAATATTATATTTGACTTATTTTAAATTTGAGCAGTGAATCTGTTTGTAATTTAGCGCTTATCCAACGAGACCCAGTACACACACATATATATATATGTGTGTGTGTGTGTGTGTGTGTGTATTATTATTATTATTATTATTGAATCATAATTTATATTTCGTGTCTGATGAGTTGGTCAAACAACGAAACTTAAGTCGCACTCCAAACGTAGTATATGTATATTTATTAATATATATATATATATATATATATATATACATATATATATATATATATATATATATATATATATATATATATATATATATATATATATATATATATATATATATATATAATTTATTTAAAAATATGATTCCATCACTACATAAGAGTTTCAAAACAACAGCCGAAACTTCAATATAATTATTTGAATTAAATTGAATTAAAGTACCAAGCTCTGTTCCATCTTCAAGCGAGATTTTTTTGGGATAACTAATTCTTGAAATTTACGCGTTTTTATAAGCATATTCATCATTAAAATTAAAATTACTATGGTAACGTTTAGAGCAATTATTTAAAAAAATATATAATATATATATATATATATATATAAACTGAAAAATAGTATGACTAATTGAAAAAAGTTAGGACTTTTTCTATCTTTTCTTATTTACGCTTTTTTTTTCATTTTTAATTAGTTTCCTGATTGCCTTGTTAATTTTTTTATGTTTCAGTAGTTATTTTCTATTCGTTTATTTATTTATTTATTTATTTATTTTTTGTTGTGTCCGTATCGTTGAGTTGTAACTTAATTTTTTCCATGTGTATCGTCTTGTTTATGATCACATAACGCGTCGCAAAAACTTTTTTCCAATTTGTCATATCATTTTTCTCAATACTGTTTCGTCGATCTATTAAATTATTTATTTTTAAATATTTTTTTATGTTTAACATTCTTTTTATAGACACAAATATTTAAATAAATGCTCTGTTTATAATAAACAGTGTTAATAACATTTACCGGCCTGAATATCCGAGAAATTTTCATAGAAAATATGCGTCCTCCAATTGAACCTGTATCCTATACGGAACAGTCATATAGCCTGACGTGCCTTAACCGACGGAGCCACGTTCGGTTAGCCAGGTCAATTTTACTGTATTTAAAAAAAAAAAATCTCGATGATTTTCTATCATACATTCATATCCGCTCAAAGCGTATTCAAATGTAAACAAATGACGTCACACATTATGAAATGGACAAAGTCCTACAATTATTTTTAAGACATTTTTAATGTTTGTACGTTCTTTTTATAGATACAAATATTTAAATAAATTCTTTGCTTATAATAAACAGTATTAACTACAATTACCGGCCTGAATGTCCGAGAAAATTGCGTCCTCCGACAGGAATCGAAATACAGTAAAATCGACCTTGCTAACCGAACGCTCCTCTGTGGCCGAATCGGTAAAGGCACGTCAGGCTATATGACGGTTTCTTATAGGATACAGGTTCGATTCCTGTCGGTGGAAGCATATTTTCTGCACAGTCTTCACTTTTCAACAGAGACCAATAGCTACTCCGCTTCCTTCTGGACGATGAATTATTTTCCATTCTACAGCCTCTTTCTCACAAACGAAAAGTCGCAAGCCTCAGGCTGCTCTCTCGCTATTTGCACGGCAAGGGCTCAGAGGAAGTACATTTATGGTTACAGCAGCTAAGATCCGTACATTGCAGCGAACCACCTTCATTCCCTTCGGATTCCATTGGTGAGACGTAAGTTCCAATTGAGTAGCTTATTCCTACGAACCGCTTATTTGTGGAACCGACTCCCAAGAAGGTGCTCACCCGATCACTACAATTTTAACCTGCTCAAATGCAGGTTTAACCGTTATCTCCCCCACATAAACTGTACCTCTTACTGTGTTACGCTGTACCTCGGCTGGCTCTCAGGCCTTGTACAGTTGTAAAAAAAAATAAATATAAAAAATAAGTGTGTTGTCTGTAAATTGTTTCATTTTTAATTACCTTTGTGCACATATCATAAAGTTTTCATCGTGTCAGAATCCTATAATGAAAACGCCGCAAATCGTTTA